GGCGGCTTGTTTTACAACGTCGTTGCCAAGCGACGAAAACCCAACCCCGATGGTAAACACAGGGGGGGGAGGCAATATTCACAGACATATACCAGCACCGGCACTTTCAAGACCATAGGAGGCACACGCACAGTTCTCGACGGAACGGTTGGGGGTGCTCTTACCAAAACGTTTGACCCCTTCGACAACAGAAAACATCAGAGTACAAGCTACAGTAGCCATTCGCAAGGACGACTCGGGGCGACCTAAGTCGGACGGGTGTTGCTGCTATGTCCGGAAAACAGCGGTTGACCAAACCGTGATGATACCCTAACTTTAACCGTCCCACTCCAGAGGTGGGGTCTACCACGCTGTATACCCGAGCAGAAAGGAAAATAGCACCAGGGGGACAGCCGCTGATATTTCAACACCAAAGTTGATGGTCGTGTTTGCACTCCCTGTGGTGGTGGTGGTGTGTAGGGCGTCGGTTCTCGGGGGTGCCTCGGTAGCAACAGGTCGGTGGCGGAGTAGCCTGAGCTTCCTTTCATCTTTTGTTTTTTTATGTGACGTTTCGCGGTGCCTTCTTCCCCGNCGATGTCTCTTGCAGCAAAAAACTTTTGCACCCAAATTTTTTTTTTCCGACTTTTCTTCGCGATGGGAGGGCCCATACGCCTACTGGCGGTATTTACCGAGTAAACCCTTGAACAAAAAAGAGAAGAAGGCTCCACCCATACGAGGGAGGGGGGGGCACACGGAGGCTCCTCTGAGGCATTGACGTGCTATCTTCAAGAAGTCATGTGTTGTATATCAACACACACACTGGGAGTGCCAAACTTGCTCCAAAGATAAATAATTATTAAGCAGACGGTCCATACAAATCGCAATTGTGAAGCATGCCCACACCACACTGGAATGGCACGAGCCGGACAATCCCAGAATTTGCAAACCGCCCTCACCTTGTTGTACCCGTTGCCCACAATGCTGTAGTTTCCTTTGCGCTCGAAAGGTTGGCCGTTCTTGTCGAAGAGCGTGTACACCTTCTCCGTGTGGACAGGGTCACGGCGGATCTTCGCCACTGCCGTGTCGTACCGGATGATGGTCTTGTCGTTCATGGCACCGGCGAGACCCTTCGTCGGCAAGGACGCGTCCGGTGTGATCTACGATCGCCTGGTACGCGATACTCGGGAACCCTTCCTTCCCCGTGTACTGCCTTGCCCAAGAATAGGGGCAGCACGCCCACCGGATATGGGTGACGTCGGTTGACCCTATCGCTCCCGTGAACNTCCACCGGATGTGGGTGACGTCGGTTGACCCTATCGCTCCCGTGAACCCCAGGAGATCATACGCCTCCATCACCTGATAATGTTTATATCGATCCGGGAAGACGTCGTGTGTTTTGTGGGGCACCAAACAAAGCAGTAACAACTTCGTCGTTGCAAGCAAAGCTTGCGTGCAGCTAAACCAACATGAGAACATCACGCATTGCGACCAACGTGCTCGGCCGTGCGAGCTCATCGTTTGACACCATTCTTATTGTTTGCTAGGGGTTTGTGTTTTCAATCACGCACACTGTGCCTTTCAATCAAACACGCTCTGACCGAACACGCGGGACGCATACATACGCAAGCTTTTTAAGTGTAGACAGGATGGACAAATCAATATTGACCGGCACCTGTCAAGAGAATACATAGAAAACATGTTTATTTTTTGTTTCTGTTTTCGTCCTATTTATTATGGCGATAGATAGTCCCTCCATTCTTCGTGGTGAGACGTGTACTGCACTTTTCAGCGCATGTAGGTAGAGTACTACACTTTTCAGTGTGTTCTTTCGTACAACTACAACCATCCAGGGTCACACCAGAGGAGGAAAACACCAGGGCTTATTTCTTCCATGTATTTTGTCAAGATGCCCGACCTTCCTCCCGCGTTGCGTGCTGAATTTTATTTCTATCGCGAGAAGGACCAGCCGTCCCTTTTCTCGTCAACTGTACTCACCACGTCGAAGTTGGCACTCACGAGAGCTTTTGTATAACCCTTTCACCCGCAAACTAATTTTTTTTCTCCCCATCGGGATTCGAAGTCAAGATCTCCGCGTCTAGCACGATGTCTGCGACTAGCGGTTTACGAGGATACCACTAGACCACCGGGGCGACCGGTCGCG